GAGCAACTTATTCCTAAAGAGTATTTCACTCATCCTTGGAGCATGGCTACTAGTACTACTGAACATTTATAAGCACTTTGTATTTGGAAAAGGCTTTGCAGTCATCTTTTATTAGCTAGACTTGCATGTTGTGTAACCTTGTACAAATCACATAATCCCTTTGTGTTTTAAATTTCCTCATATGTAAACTGTAGGCAGTAATACTGTCCCACCCCCAAGGGGTATTGTAGAGACTAATGGGGGACTGTAAAACAGTCAGCAAACATAAAAATGTTATATGCATGCTTATTAGACAGGTATGAAGTCCTAGTCACAGCCTTTTAAAATAGGCAAATACCAAAACAAACACTTAAGTAGGACTTCCTGGAACATTTATCATAATTTAAAAGATCTTTTCTCAGCACCAAAGTATAGCAATTCCCCTCATCACCCAGACTAATAAGCAGGCACAGTTTGCAGTCACAGAAAGGGCAGGGCCAATGATAGCAGTAAGAAAGTACATAAAACAGTCCTGAAATAAGGGTTTGCTAACCTTCTCTTGTTTAAGGACAATATGTCATGCCTTTTAATGCAATCAGGGACTCTACCTATAAATACACTCATCTGAAAAACATTCTTAGGATACGTTTGTGTGTGTTCATACAAGGCTTTAAGCTCATGCTTCTTGGCCACTGTTGATGTATGGCCTGAAGTTGTTTCCTGATTTACTGATGAGTTCTGCATAGGAACATTTAACCGCTTTTCATTTCTACCATGGGACTGAAAGAATATGGGGTCAAAATCAGACCGACACGCTATGGCTCCCTTTTGCTCTGGCTGCTTTGCTGTTTCACACTGTGGGTGAGTGAGAAGGGGAAGGTGAAGGTTAAATCTATAACCTGGGAGCTTCAGTAGGTTTGGTAAGGAGCTGACCCACAACTAAGCGCTTGTTTGCACTATCTGTGCAGCTTCTTAGAAAGGGGAAGCAGTAAGAAAAAGTTTTTCACTTTTTTGCATTTTGCTTTGAAAGGGTCACATAGTTTAAAGGGCTAAATTCATTTTACATATTCCAATTCATTTACAGTTAAATAGTTTCTGTGGCTGTAAATAAGAATTAGTGCCTGATGACTCCCATGGCTCTTGTGAGTCATGAACCCTAAGCTAGCAGGACTTTTTGGGTCACTTGACCTTGAGTGTGTTCCTGCCTCTTTGGTCCCTCAGGGTTTAGTTTGTATTTCCAAGGCAGTTGTCTTCTCTGGTTAAGCTCAGGACTCGTTAACAATTAAATTCTATTTAACAGATATTTGAGGGGCACAAAGCTGTGCAGATGATACTGTAGTACTGGCTGTGGAGGCTACGAAGTGTTCCTTGAGAAGCCTGCAGTTTTACTATACTTTATTGACTCTGGGTCGTTGGGTCAGGGCAGAGTATCAAGCCCCCCTAGAGACTGGCAGGGTTTGATTGCTGACATACAATTTCCCGGGCCTCCCAGACTGGGCTTTGGCAGTTGGCAGGTTAAAATGTCATTGTTACTTATCACATAACATTTTCTTACGTGTGACAGATATTAGACCTTGATCAGAATTCAGTAGCTCAGGTGAAAACCACCTCAGTGCAGTGAGCCTCACTGGTTGGAAAATTATCTATTATCTATTCTAAAACCCTTATTGTTTTAAAAATATGGTTAATCTCATCGTATTTCTTCCTCAACAATCTTTGAGAGTTTCTGCATTTTTGCTGAACATTTTAGCTGGGAGAAAGAGCCACATAGGCTTCATTTCAATAGTTAGAAGAAATTAATGATAGTGCGTTGTTATGGTTGAAACATTGTGTCAACTTGGGGAGTCTACAGGTTTGGCTAAGTGATTCAGCAGGAAGCCAGGGTGCTTACTTTGTATACATCCAGAGCCTGTGGAACAGGAGGGCATGGAGATTATGTGAGAGCTACACGCCCCTTAGGTGGAGGTAGCCTGTTTACAATGTAAGGGAGGGAAAAAGGCTGCTTGCCACGATTCCTCCCTTTTGCTCTGGCTGCTTTGCTGTTCAGCTGCCATTCCCCGCTTTGCTCTTGTTGCTTTGCTACCTTCTGCCTTGGAGCCAGCCAGGTATGAACTGAAACCTCCACGAACTGTAAGCTAAATAAACCTTTCCTTCCTTCATTTTGGGCATTGGGTATTTCTGTCTCAGCAACAAAAGTAACCAAGACATGCATGCCTTCAATGGGATTCATTTAAGTATCCTTAACACTTTTTTCCATCAATATGGAAGACCCCCAGAAGTGTATACTGTGGATTTTTGCCCTGTAAAGAGATGCAAATGGTTATAGTAAGTTCTGATTTCCTCTGAGTTGTTCGAAATTCTGTTTTCCCAGTATCTCGAGGTAAGTGTTCCTCTTTTGCAGATCCAGAAGCTGAAGCATCATGAATCCATTTCATTGCCTTCCTCACTCCACTGCTGTCCTTGAAATAGGAGAAAAAGGTCATGGTGGTTTTTGAGATGGGGCAGCAGTCAGGTACAACTTTCTGGACTAATGTTGATTTGCCATATCTTTCAAGCTGGAGGCATAAGCACTTAGATGAATCTTAATCACCTTACATATCAACTTAACTTTGCTTTCTCTCTTTCATCTACCTAAAACACAAAACAAAATAAAAACAGACATGAAAAACCATCCCAACATTTACTCATGAATCTTCATGACTGGGGCCATAAAGTTTGGACAGAGCCAAAGAAAGCACTAAAGGGTGAGAGATGAGAATAGTGTATATTGGACTGAGGATTTCAAAATACCCAATTTGGTGTTTCCCAGTTGTCCTCATGGACAGAATCAACATTGGAGTGCCATTTGTGGCAGATACCTGCTCTAGAGAATTTTTTTGCTGATCACGGATATGAATTTTCAAAAAAATTTTTCCTCTAAATCAAATCAAGAAGCATCCTATTTAACACATATCTGATTGTTCTGTTTTAATTTTTATGTCACCTAAGTAACCACCCACCTCCTCTGTGGATCTCTTTTATTTTCTTCTAGGAAGATTTGAACAACCGATCTGTTTCCATTCTAAATATTTTGGGTTAACGATAGTACTGTTTCCAGTTGTATTTTATTCTTGATGATTAAACAGTAAAAATGCTACTTAGTAGCCTGAATCTAGAGGAGGAAAAGCTATTTCTTGATGGAAGAAGCATGAAGCTGAGATGGAGACCTCACAGGGCACTGAAATAAGTGGGTTAGACTGCAGTGCTATGGGAAAAGGGTGAAGACTGAACTATCCAGTCAATTCCAGAGATTCTGGTTTAGTGGAAAGACTAAGTTGAGATCAGGATGTATCAAACATACCCACAAGACTAATGTCATCAAAATGCAAATATTTGTAGGGCAGAAAAAACAGGAGACTATACCCTTGGTCTTTCTTTTTAACATGGAGCTGATTCTAGACACAAAATAAACTAGATGTCAAGGAATTCATTCTGTTTCCCTCCTATGTACTTGTTATTTCTGGGAAGACCTTAAGCTAAGGTGAAGGATGCATTTTTGGGTGGGTATCCTGAATCACTCTCCATAACCTGCACCCGTTTTTCCCATGTATCTCCATATGGAAGTCAGGAGTCCTGCTTTCAAACCCCACACTTATCGGTTATTAGTTACATGACCTCATGAGCAAGTGTCAATCTCTAAGTGAATCAGCTCTTCTCATCCATCATTGGAAGAATAATGGTATGTATCTTTTTAGCAAAGCCAGTGTGTGGAAAAACCCTGTGGATCAGCATATATTAACATTCAGTACAGTGCATGTTAGAGTAATGAGTGAGTGCATGCAAGAAGTTGGAGAAGTCCAACCCCTACTGATGACAGGCTGACATTCATATATTTTAGCTAGGCATCCAGTGACCTAAAAACCCTGCTCCTTCCTACTCTCTGGCTCTTTCTCCATGTCTACTCTGCTATAGTCAGATGTTCTCCATTAGGTCCTCAATTTGCTCACTTTCATGTCTCTGTGTCATTCCCTCCACCTACAGCCCCCACTTATCAAAATTCCACCCAGTCATCAGGGCCCTTGACTCCCACTGTCTCTAGCAATCTTAGCAAACTCACACCTTCGCCTGCTCTATATCTTGGTTCTTGCTATCTGGAGAACTCTGGACCTATAAACCACTTAGTGTCCCAGCAGACTGCAAGCTCCTGCAAAGCGGTGGCTACAGAGACATTACCCATCTCTTGTGCACTGCCAACACATTGGTGCCTTGCCCAATGTGGTGCTGAATAGATGGATGATTGAATAAATGAGAGCTTTCTCACCCTACCTATTGTGCTCTTGGACAAAACACCTTGCCTCTTTCAGTCTCAGTCACCTCAGCTCTGAACAGAGGATAACAGCACGAATGTATTCCCCAGGTGTACTGTGAAAAATAAGCCAATGACTGAAAAGCAATTTGAAAATGTGAAATAAAATGCTATATATTTGTTACATAATCAGAATCATTTCCCTGTTTTCTGTTTTATTTGGCTTTATATCTCCCAATCTTTTGTGGATTTCAGAATTTCAGATGCAATACCATTCATATTAGCACCTAGATTCTCTTGGGTAATAAACAATTTTGTGTATTATAGCTCACAGCTACCTTTCCCTTGCATACTTACACGTGAATCTGTCACAATTTGGGGTATTCACCATAACTAATGATACAATTCATTTCTGAGAGATAATCCTCTTCTTTCACTCTCTGGCTGGCCAGTTATTCCAGCACTGCTGCCTCAAGGGAGCTCACTGCCATTAAGTCTAGAATCCAGATGATGAGCACACTGTTTAGAAGCCCAAATCGTTTAAGAGCTTACAATGAGACCTAAAAAATCACTGGGGATTCTGAAACACAACCTGTTTTCTATGGCTCTCTCTGCATCCAAACTCTGAGTCCCCCCATTGCTTTACTGTGATTTATGTGCTACCAAATGGTCATTGCAACCTGGTTTCTTAGGGAAGGTACGAATTAGCTCTTTACATATGAAAGTAAGACAATGACAGCTTAAAATGACATTTTCTTTATTACTATATCCAAGAAAGAGATTTGTAGTGGAAAAATAAAATTTCCTAGAATATCTGCAGTTCTTTTAAAAAGAGGCGTTTGACATAGCAGGACATCAGTTTTAGAATAGTCCTTCAGTTTAGATGGAAACTCTAAGAAAGAGGAAATGGCAACAATATACCTTGTCACAAGGATTAGGTTATTAGATACAAAAGGGTTAAAATACAGGGTGACATGTAACAAGTGCTCCATAAGTATTAGGGCTTGTTTTCAGTAGGGAGCCTTCTATAAGCCTGGCCATGTGCTAGGCTCTCCCTTGAGCTCTGTGGCAAACTAATGAGGCAAACCTGATCACCGCCACATCCACTCCCTCTGTTTCTGAGAAGCTAAGGTGGACATCCAAGGTCTCACAGTAAGAAGTAGAGAAAAATATTCAAGCTTTGTGATGGTTAACGTTGTATGTCAAGCTGGCTGTGTGTCTGAGTGTCCAGATTAATCATCATTTCTGAGTGACATCAGCATCTGAACAGACGGACTCAGTAGAATGCCTTCCTCGATATGGGTGGGCATCACCCCATTTACTGGAGAACAAAAAGGCAGGAGAAGGAATTCAACCCTTTGCTTGCTGTTAGTAGAACGTGTAGCTTCTGACGGGAATTTAGCAGGGACATCAGCTTCCTGCACTCAAGTAGGGTTTACACCATTGGCTTGCCAGGTTGTTCTCAAGCCTTCAGATTCAGACTGGAGTTAAACCACGAGGTTTCCTGGCTCTTCAGCTTACAGAGAGCAGACTGTGGAATTTCCCAGCCTAGATTACCAAGGAAGCTAATTCCTCATAATAAATCATATATATATATATATATATCTCCTATTGTTTCTGTTGCTCTGAAGAACCCCAAGCGCGTGATTCTCCCTTTCTAAACAGTTGTCTAATTCCTCATGGTTACTCATTTCATTTTAAAGTTTTAAAACGAGGAGTTTTTTCATCTCTTCTGGTGACCAATTTTTCAAGTTTTATATCAGGCCATCATCAAGATCATCGCAGTCTTCTTGCACCAAACTTGTCCTTGGTGGCATCAATTCTTAAGAACCATAAAGTAGTTTTTCTTCTGCGGAATGTATGATGAAATCCCAAGTTCTCATCCGTACCCATTTCTGTCAGCAGATTTTAACTCAGTTGGGCCTGTGGCAATATAATTCTCAAATGGGGAAGTTGCTTTGACATTCAGATGTAAGGAGATAATATTGTTTTGTGGATGTTGTCACACAGGCTGCAGATAAAGTACCAGAAAAATTTCTCCGTTACAAAATTACCTCCTTCTTGTTAAATATAAACTAATACCATACTTTATTTGCCAAACACCTACAGGCTACTTTGTAGGCTATGTAGCAATTAATATTTTATTAGTTATCTCTTGCATTTCAGTAAAATTGGTCAGAAGTATCATTGCAGTGTTGTCTTGGTTACTTTTCTCTCCTTGCTGAGACAAAATACCCAACACCCAGAATTACAGAAGGAAAGGTTTGGAAAGGCTTATTTAGCTCAGTTTGTGGAGGTTTCAGTCCTTAATCAGCGGGCTGCAAGGCAGGGTGACAGGGCAGAGGAGCATCACTTCACAGTGGCACAAAACAGCAAAAGCAGCAAGAGTAAAAAAGGGAGGGGAGCAAGCCTCTTTTCCCTCCTTATATCTACTGTGGGCTGTCTGTCCATGCCCACATCATCTCCCTGTCCTCCTGTTGCACAGGCTCAGGATGAATACAAAGTAAGGACTCTACTTCCCTGCTGAGTCACACAGTTAACCTTCTAAACTTCTCAAATTGACACAAGGAACAACATCCCAGAGCAGCAAGGGCATGATGTCCTTTTCACCCCAGGATGAAAAACTCCTGAGTTAGTTAAGCTTCTAGACTCAAGTTGACACAATGTATCAACCATAACAAGTGTCACAGATGGGAAACTAATACAGAGAACATTAATGAGTTGTCCAAGATCTCAGAATAAGTCCAGAGTACAGCTGTCATTAGAATCTATAGCTTCTCAGAGGAATTTAGAAATTTCTGCATTTTTTGCTACTATCTTTTATGAAACCTCTTCAAATTGTGAATAATTATCAAAATGAATATGCTGAAAAAGGTGGTGAGAGTGGAAGAACAGTAAAATAATACCTACTTCAGTAAAATTTTCCTCAACTCCCGTCTGCTTCTATAACTCGTCCTATTTTGGTGCCTTGTTCCCATTAACAGCTTGCAAAATATCTGGCAATCAAAGAAGGAAAGTAAAGGGCCCTTTTCCCTAATATCCATCTACAGAAGAACAAAAATCCAATGAGGCTGAAATGGATGGGAACTGCATGTGTAAAGAATTGTTCAGAGAGTATTATTTTCCCACCTCACTTTCTTCCACTTACTGGCAGCAGCACTAGAAGTGCAGTCCATTTGCAGTGTGCTTCATAACCATTGTCATGGGTTCCCCCTCGAGCAGCTAAACAGTGGACAAATTCTGCCATTGCTGTTTCCCATCCAAGTACTAACCAGGCCCGACCCTGCTTAGCTTCCGAGATCAGATGAGATCGGGCGCGTTCAGGGTGGTATGGCTGTAAACTGCCATTGCTGTTTTATGGCCAAAGAAGCAAGGGTAAAATAGAGGTTTAGTGACCACCAGCAGCACTCACCATGACAACTGCTCTGACTAGAACTCACAGCTCTTACCCATCAAATCCTACTTAAATTGAGAAGGTTCTAAAATATTGTTTCTCAGAGAGGGATGACAATGCCTGAAGACAAATTTGCTTAGTATCTACAAAGGGACAAGCTCTGCTTCCATGGTTCTCCCTGAGCATTCTCATCCTCAAGCTACTCCATGAACTTCCTCATCCCTCTGAGTGAAAGAAATCTCCTTTCATGAAATGGGTAAAACTAAACAAGTGACTTCCACCACCAGATTTTTATGGTTTTCTGCTTGTTTTGTACAGACAGTATTAGCCTGTGTTCTTGCACTAGGAATAGATCTCATTTTCCCTGGCAAAATGTCAGGCTGGCCCAAACTCAAAAGATCATTAGGGGAACTGCCAACGAAAGGAATATGCCTTGTGTCCAAGCAATAAGCTTTTGTCGAAAACCAATTACAATGAAAGATAGTGTGGAAATATAAAGAATCGTATTTTTTTTTTTTTTTTTTTTTTGTACTGGGAATCGAACTTGAGACCTCGTGCTTGCCAGGCAGGCACTGTGCCGCTGAGCTATATCCCGGGCCCTGGTATGGGAATATGAGTGTAGCTCAGATGTGCTCTTTTCCATGTCATCCACTGTACAATAGAAAATAAAAACTGTTACTTGTCCAGGGACCGTGGATGAACATGTCTGTGTGAAATAAATGGAAAACCTTGGAAACCAGGATATGAAAGTCACCTGTGTAATTCTAACTTACATCACAATAGGATATTTTCCCTTATTTTTTTCCTTATCTAAAGTAAATGCAGTTACCAGCCAGTGCTTAGCTCCTATTAGTGAGGTATTTTTTAAAATAACCATTAGTAGGCTGGGTGTGGTGGCGCATGCCCGTAATCCCAGCACTTGGGAGGCTGAGGCAGGAGGACTGTTGTAAGTTCAAGAGCAGCCTGGGCTACAAAGTGAGCTCAAGGCCAGCCTGAACTGCATAGCAAGACCCTGTCTCAAAAAGACAAAAAATAAATAAATTAATCAAATAAAATAATCATTAGTATCTATGAAAAAAAACCTTTATAGGGTGTGATCATTCTAGTTACATCCAGAAGTGTGGGGAAAAATCCAAGGACATATATTTCTTCTGTGAGAATTTCCTGATAATTCCAGTCCAACATGATGTTTCAAGGCACCTTTCAATGCAGAGGTTTGCAGAAATTCATGAAAGCAAACAGAGAAGTCCAAGGTTTAAAAATCAGGGCTGGGGATTTAGCTTAGTGGCACAGCACCTGCCTGGCAAGCGCAAGGCCGTGAGTTCTGTTCCCGGTACTGGAAAAAAAAAAAAAACAAAAAAAATTTAAAAAAATATAAAATAAAATAAAAATCAGACCACGTGGAGTTTTCCTGCAGGCTATAGTCGGATCTTGAACAGCCTCTGCAAGTTCACGGGTTGAAGGCCTGGTTCCCAGCCTGTGGCACTGTCAGATATGGTAGAACCTTTAGGAAACTGGGCCTAGGGAAAGGAAGTTGGGGTGCGATAGCCCCTTGAAGGGGTACCAGGAGGCCAGTCTCTGCTCCTTCTCTGTGTCCTGGCTACCAGGAGGTAAACAGCTCTGCTCTACCCCATGTTTCCACTGTGAGCTACTGTGCTGCCATGGGCGAAAAGAGATCAAGCACTCACGAACGGAGACCTGCGAAACTATGCGCCAAGCCCACCTCTCTGACTCTCCCAGGCACTCTGTCAGAGTGACAGAAAGCTGACATACTGCCAGAGCCAGGTTAGGGGGTTGTTTTCTCCTAGGACTTCTTTACCACTGTCTGGAACCTCCAGCTCCGTCCTTACCTCCATCCCAACTTGGGCAGAGACTTCATGTATATTCCATTCATGTTATCTACATCTAATTCTTTGTAGATACAGGCCATTCTTCTCAGCCATCTGGCAGTAGTAAGTAACTTAGTTACTTAGTTACACTAAGTAACCCCTGCGATCACATGAGATGGTGTTCTTCACTTACCAGTCCTCCACTTGAGTAGGATGGTCTTCCACACCTCTACTAGTCCTTTGGTTCACTAGGCAACAAGGTGTTTAAGTATGTATAATTTAGGTATCACTGACCAATTTTTCAGGGCCTGCTAAGGACTTTCCAGGCTGTCTTCTTGTCCTGCTGGCAGCCTGCCACTGGCCCTTTCCCCGCTGAGAAAGAGTGCTGAAGAGACAGAGTTGAAACTCAACTGAGGTCACAGGAGCCATTAAACACCTATCCAGTTAGAGCCCAATTCTTTGCTTTCCTTTTTCCCAGTGACCTCATCAGGACGTTCTCAGGAGAGGTCAGCCGTGATCCAAGACTCTATGGAGGCCAACTAGCCACTGAAACAACACCTGCAGCTCCACTGTGAACAGTTGCTTATGTTTTAGGACATTTTGGACCTGAGAGAGAAAATGATTTAAAGAGCTGGGGGCTGGAAGCAAGACGGAGGATGAGGTGTGTGGGTAAAGTGTTAGGGCACCAAGAAACGTGGCCTCTTTCCTGTTATGCATTCTTGCATTTCAGCTAACACGGGTTGAGTGCCAAATTATGGCAGGTGCAGCGCCAGGCCCCCAGAGGACCTACTGACTGGAGCACATCTTAGGCCTCAGTCGCAAAGTAAGAACATCAAACGCTCTGCTTTTGAGTCTACATTTATAGCTGTGTGCGTGCGTGAGTATGTGTGTGCGTGTATGTGTGTATTGCACCTAGGGTAAAGGCTTAAAAATTGGCTGAAAAGACCATCCTCCAAGAAAGCAAGCAGCTCCAGTGACCTGGACAGCTGGATGGGCAGAGTTCATGAATCCATCGCCCAGGGCTCTTTGGTCTCTGGTGATCCCAAGAACCCAGGCTTCTGCTCTCTTCAGCACCACGTGCACCAAGAACTCACGTTCCTGTTATATTTCTGAGCCGGCTTTCTGTCTCCAAGCCAGCCAGGTACTGCTGAAGAGGGAGGGGGCAAAAATGCAGAGTGGGATAGATGTAGCTTGCTGTGAGGCTTCTGCTCCACAAAGATGGTTCATTCTGGCCCTTCCAGAGTCCCAGAGGGCCCAGGTCACAGCAGCCGAAGCAACCTCCGCAGGTGCCACTCCGAAGGGCAGCCGCTCCGGGAAGGGTCTCTCGGATTCTGGCGCCTCTGGGCCCCAGAACCTCCCATTTGCTCTCAGTTTTGAGCAAGTGCCCGGACTCTCTGGGTGGGGAAGAGGAGACCATGGCCTTTGATGCGGTCCCTGCGACGACGGTCCCTGCGACGACGGTCCCTGCGACGACGGTGCGGAGGGCGAAGGTGGGGAGGGGAGGTGTCCTGAGCTTTCCAGGCGGCCTGCGGAGACGTAGATTTGTTTTGGACACCAGCCTCAGATGTTAGAACATTTTTAGGGAGTCCGGGGCTCTCAATCCTCAGCTCAGGCCTCCACCGGGGGTTGCAGGACCTGGCCTGGGACTCACCCTCTTTGGGTCGGCAGTTTCCTCCGGCGGCTGGGGCTCCTTGGGGCAGCCAAGCTCTGCGCCTCTGCCAGGCGCCCAGAACCGGCGTGGTCGACCCGGTCTCTATTCGCGTGAGGCTGGGCATCTCCCTCCACAGCCTGCCGACGCTCCAAGGCTCCAGGGCTCGCGATCTCTCCCAGGCCGGGACCTTCCCGGCCGCGCTACTCTTTGGAGGGGTCCAGGTCCCATTACACCAGGCCCCGCAGCGACAGCCAGGAGCCTCCTCACTTTGCAGCGACCAACTTCCCCGCAGCCAGCCGCCCTCCTCAGCCCGCCCCCGGCCGAAAGCAATTGGACAGTGGCTGCGGGGCGGGGTCCAGAGCTAGGCACTACCGGTCACCGCCTGGGGTCCTAGCGTCACTACAATTGGCTGCGGGGTCCGCCCGTCACGGGCTGATGAGCGCCCCGCCCCTCGGGGGGGCAGGCCCCGGGCTGGTCCCTCCCCTCTGGTCCCGCCCCCTACGAGCTGGTCGGCGGTGCTCCGCGCTGCGCCTCAGTCGCGGAGCAGGTCCGTGAGTTGTCAGCGCGCTCGGGGCGACTGCCGAGCCGGGGCGGCCACCGGGCTTTCGCGGGGCTCCCCGAGGTGCCTGCCCGCGCCAATGTGCCCGGGCTCTCTGGAGCGTGAGCGGCCGTCGGGGCGCGACAACTTGGGACCGGGAGCCTGCCGCAGAGCGTCGGTTTGCAAGCCGGAGTCGGCAGGAAGGGTGAGTGGCCGCCGCCGCCGCCGCCGCCGCCGCGCGCGGCCCCGTCCG